CAACTTTTATTTTTCATAAATACATTCTTTAAAAAAAAAAGAAAATTTTAATAGTTACAGTAACTGGTAACTGTTGGTTATATGTAAAAAAAGAGTCAGAACCTCTCTACCGAAAGCATTAATCGTAGGAATCGGTTCCGGAATTGATTCCTCCCCCAGCTCTACCAAAGATGCAGCCGTATTTATTAATCGATTCCAGTTTTGGCCGCATTATTGATGTTTACAATGGTGTCAGTTAGTAGGCGATCTCAGTCCCCCTCCTCTTCCTACTCCTCCTCACTTTCTGACCATCTCTCTCTCTCTCCCTCTCTCTCTCTCTCTCTTTCTCTCTCTCTCTCTCTTTCGCTTTCTCTCCCTCTTTCTCTCGCTCTCTCCCTCTTTCTCTCAGTCAGGCGTTATCTCTGTTTCTCTCTCTTTTGCTCACACCAAGCCTCTCCCTCTCTCTCTCTCCCTCTCTCTCTCTCTCTCTCTCTCTCTCTCTCTCTCTCTCTCTCTCTCTCTCTCTCTCTCTCTCTCTCTCTCTCTCAATCCATTACACTCAAATTTGAAATCATATCCTTTTATGTTTCCCAATGCTGAAAGAATGAAACAATCATTTAAAAACAACATTTTATAGGTCATATGGTGTAAATCACCACGCCTTACTAAGTGTTTTTTCGACGATGAAAATATAAAAATAAACACGCTTATCATAATATAAAGTGAGACTGATGTTTGTGATTTGATATTTTGGAACTTAAAATTATAGAAAGTAGTTTTGGTGGTTGGCGGGGGCTCTGGTGTGATTTCCGCCTTTCTTATCAAATATCTATCGTCGTCATATTATATCCTCTTTCCTGTGTTTGTTACTCTCTTGTCACACCTTTAATCTTCAGCACGTATATGGCCTATTGTAATTCAAACGCTGTATTTCGTTCGATAATACTAAAGCTAATAATAGAAAGTAATTTAGGAGTGGATATCTGATTTTTGTCGTGTTTATAATGCTGGTTTCATTCCTTCTTGGGCTTAAAAAAATGTACAGCTATTTTTGACGTTTCGGTTGTTTGCAAGAAAAACAGCAGTGTAGTCAGATTATTAAATTTAGCAACAACAAATATAACAATATCTGTCATGTGAGAAGGAGCAAACTTGAAAGAGGACAACAGGATGAACAGGAGAGTCCCAAGACTTTTTGGAGGGGGTAGGTTGGTGGGGGGGATTAATTTCGAGTGAGACAATTTTTTTTTTGGATTTTATATTTTCTACAGATATATACAGAAAGTAATACGGATGGTTGGCAGACCCTTTGGTGTGGATTCCTCCTTCTTTCCTATTTAAAAAGAAATCTATCGTCCTTTTCTCTCCCCTTTTTTACGTAGTCTTTTGTAACCCCTCTAAAATTAATCACGTGAATCACAATAATTATGTTGCAAATGCCGCAAAACTTTCGCTAAAACTAAAAGAACTTAAAAACCTGTGTGCGGATACCTGAATTCCTTCCTGTCAATAATTATGATTAATATAAGTATAAAATTAAGTCTTGGACTTTAAAAAAGTACTGCCCATGTTAAGTCACCGTTTATTTCCCTACAAACGTTATAGTCGTTTACAAGAAAGACATCAGTGTAGTCAAACTATTTCAAAAACAAAAGATAACAATAACTATCATGTGAAAAGGAAAAGACTTTGAAATCGGAAGAGAGGATGGACTGGAGTGTCCCGAGAATGATGGAGCGCTGTTCGAGTAGTTGGATTATTGTACTAACGGCGTGCAGTGACCGCTGGTCAAAGGGCGGCCTGTGATTCCTGGGGACCAGACAGAAAGGACTACAAGCACGTGACATCACGGCGACCTCACGGGAGGGGACGGCTGACCACAAGGCCATGGCTAGACCCACCTACAGGTAAGCTGGACTCTATTAAAAAAATAAAAAAGAACAAAGAAAAGAAGGAAAACCCATTTCAATTACTTTCGGTTTTTTTTTTTTTTTTTTTTTTTTTTTTTTTTTTTTTTCCCTCTTATTTTTTGTTTTGATGGATTGTATGTCTTAATTCACGCCAGACTATGGCTAGACCCATGTAAAGGTAAGCTTGAATTACAAACAAAAAGCCGCTTTTTTGTCTTCATAGAGTAAAATCTGACGTCTAAATTAACGCAAGGGCATGAAGCGGCCTACCTCCAGATAAGCTGTACGCTTTTGTTTGTTGTTGTTGTTGTTGTTGTTGTTGTTGTTGTTGTTGTTGTTGTTGTTGTTGTTGTTGTTGTTTGCTTTGATACCTTAATTGACACATTATAAATCTGACATACTATTATTGACAAAAGACTAGCCCTATGCACTGAGGTGAGTTATGTCAGAGAATGCACACCCCTTAACGCTAGTTTACCTTTCTTTCTGACATTTTTGCTGTATACATAATTTATTTGAACTAATATATTATTATTACATACAAGATCACGGCAACATTCACCTACAGCCAAGGACTTTACAAAAATGTATAAGCATTACGCCGTGAATTCAAATCAAAATTATGGCAATGTTTCCGAACCATGTTTAGCTACTATACAAAGTGAATGGTACAGGAGCATGCTTAGGTGAAGAAGAAAACACAAATCTTGTGTAGATATGGCACGCCCATCACCCTCTCTCTCCCTATCCGTCAGCCTCGTATCTCTGTCTCACTCACGTTCTCTCTGTGTGTTGTCTATCGTGTCTACTTGCGGGTCTGTTTCTCTGTCTGTTTGTCTGTCTGTCTATCTGCGTGTCTGTCTGTCTGTCTATCTGTTACAGTTTTTGTTAGTCTCTCCCTTCCTCTCTCTCCCTATCTCTCTCTTTCTCTCTCTCGCTCTCTCTCTC